TTTTGGGCCTTGAGGTGACACGTGTCTCATTCTGATTGGGCTACGTGGCTTGGGTATTTTTACCCAAATCATTTGTAACTAAAAGTTTCCTAGTATATATAGTAGAATATATGTAAAAAAAATTAATTGAGTATATATAATAATTGGATTAAATACGTTCTCAAAATGAAAATAAGTATTATTGTAGGTTATAAAATAGATGTCATTAAAATTTGGGGGAAAAAAAAAGAAAAAAAAAAGAAAGAAAATAAAGGCGGGAAATTTTTTAAATAGAAAATGACAAGTGTCATTTCTAGTTTTGCCTTTAGTATAAAGTTATTGATTTTGTAAATAGAATTGAATATAAAATGTAATTTATTAGTTTTTGGGGAAATTCTATATGATGGCATTGTATTTTTGTTAATTTCTCATGGTGGAAGTTTTTCCAAATTTTAAAAATTTTGGGAGTGTTTGGAAAATAGCTTTTTGCCTAACTTTTGACTTTTTATTTTGGTCAAACAACCAAAAAATATGTTTGGTTGTTGGCTTTTAAGTTGACTATTCAACCAAAAGTTAAAAACAAATAGTTTTAGCCTTTTCTATTAACTTTTGGCTTAGTAGTCCACTTTTCACTAATAATCAATTAAATGCCACAATTAATTTTGCCAAACAATTTTGTAAACAACTACTCCCTCCGTGTTTTAATAAGTATTATAGTTACCAAATGTGGCCGTGTTTTAATTAGTGTTACACTTTCTTTTTTGACAAAAAACTACATTTTAATATTAAACCTATCTCTTCTCATGGTCCCCACTTAAATCCACTACTACTTTTTTATTATTTCTCTCCTCTCACATTCATTACTTTTCAATAAATTATTAACCCCACTATCTTTCTTTACAATTTTTTAATACTCTAACTACCCCACTTACCTCTTATTTTATTTAAGTCAATTAAATTGCCTAAAACTATGTGTTGGTCAAAGTATAACACTTATTAAAGAGAACGTATTACGTGCGGCTTGCCGCACGAAACAGTCCGTACGTCAAAACACAAACCCAAGAATTAAAAAAAAGGCGCGGATTTGAAGCTCGATTGTGCCGGGCTTCATGGGCTCGATTAATTTCTTGTCTTTTCACTTGCCATTTCTTAGGGTTATCATCTGATTCTCAATTTCGAAGAACAAAATTGAAGAAATTAACCAATAGAAGAAATTAATCAATTACAAATAAACGATTAATTATTTCGAAGAAATCGATCACCAAAATGAATCCTGGTAACATCAATAAAATAATTTTTATGTCAGATAAGTTTATTTAATTGATTTTAGGAAAAATTGTCAAAAATAATACAAACTTTGAGCGGTCCGCCAAAAACAAGTCAAACTTTTGATTATTTCTAAATAATACAAATTTTAGGGGGTATCCGCTTAAAACAACTTATAACCGCTTAGTGACTTGATTAATAGGTATATAGGACACGTGTCATTGTTTTATGGGTTAGATAATTTAAATTTGAATATTTAAATTTATTTAATGTTTTTATTTAATTATTATTGTTATTATTATTAAAAAAAAAAACATAACCCCCTCAGCTCCCCACCAGCCACCACTTCCTCGGCGCCTAGCCCTCTGACGACACCGTACTAGCGCCTTAACCTCCTCCCCTGCGCCGGCGACCCCATCCCTGGCATCCCCACTTGTCCCGCTCCCTTTCCCGACTCCCACCCACCACAAAAAACCACAAAACCTCCTTCCTCATCCCCGAAACCCCTAATCTCCCTTCTCCCAACCCCGAAACCCTATTCTCTCTTCTCCTAGCCCTAGACCCTACCAACTAGGGTTTTTAAGCGTGGGCGTAGGGGCGATTAGGTGTGGGGAGGGGAATTTCGTGGGTTTTCTTGGGGAGGGAGGAAGATTTTGTTAATGGTGGTTTGGGGGAGGGGGATTTCGTTAATGGTGGTTTGGGGGAGGGGGATTTCGTTAATGGTGGTTTGGGGAAGGAGGATTCGGTGATGGTGGTTTAGGGGAAGGGGAAGGGGAGAGCGACGGTAGGGTAGGCCGGCGGGGCGGCTTGGCGCCGCCTGTGGTGGAAGTGGGGGGGGGGGGAGCTGTTGGTGAAGGGGTGGCTAGCGTTGGGGAGAAGGAGTGGGTTTTTTTTTTTCTTTTTTTTTTTTTTTTTTTTTTTTAAATTATTATTTTGATTGTTAGTTATGGTTATGTGTTAATAAGGTGTTAATTAAATTGTTAAATGAATTTATCTAAAAAAGAAAGTTTAGTGGTTATTTAGGTTATAGGTAAAATGTCTTGTTTAAAGCGGATACCCCCCAAAGTTTGTATTATTTAGAAATAATCAAAAGTTTAACTTGTTTTTGGCGGACTGCTCAAAGTTTGTATTATTTTTGACAATTTTTCCTTGATTTTAATGTTTTTTTTGGGTTTCGTGTAGTGACTTTGACGATGTATACATCATCTAAAGACTAGATGATATCATCCAACTAATGACTAACATCATCTAAAGACTAGATGATATCATCCAAAGACTGGATGATATCCTCTAATGACTAAAAACTAGTTGATATCTTCCTAAGGTAAGATGATATCCTTAAAAGGCTTGATGATATTGTAACACCCTAGAAATTCCTTCCCTTTAAAATACCTGTTTTGCTCTCTTTTTAAAATACGAAATAGGAAATTCTAAGACATTACTGCCACCATGAAAATGGCTAAGATAATTAACAAAGACACACAGCGGAAGACTCTCTTTAAAAACCAGTCAAAACAAATCAACTTAAAAGTCAAACCAATGAAAGTAAAGTCAACCAAAGTCAAACGAAGTCAACCTACAATTTGGAACCATTGTAGGACCTTATTAAAACCGAAATAAGACTTAAAACCTTTGTGTTAGTCTCACAAGCAAAATATATGATAATCAAACAATAAATCACATTATATTCTTATAGAAACTAAGCATGATTCGCTCTTCACTCGTGCCCATCATGAATATGTCTCATCACCTGAAAAGCTTCTCTTTACTTTGTCCCCACTACTCGCCATTAGAAATGGGCCGTTGTAGGGCCAAGATAAAGACAAGGCCAAACAAACATACAAACACACAATCATCAGCAATGCTGAGTACATAAGCATAAATAGAACACACTAACATGCTTTCATTCTATCATCTCACAACTTACCTTGTTGCACCTGTTTACAAGCATACAACATACAACATAACCAACTAACAAACTACTAGATTATTTATTTAGCTTGATTACGCATCGAACGAGTTTCCCTCTAACCTGCCCCAATAAAGGGGTACTAACACGGGAGCTAACCGTGTCAGTATAAAATAACCACTCGTAAGTGGCGGAATTCCTGCGCATAATAAAAAGGAATATACAACGTCATGTACTCCTAGTAGAAGTTATGGTCAAATATAAAGTCGCATAACTCCTCCCATATGTTCATACTCGAGGTATATACGTTACAAGAGTTTTGGTGTGCAATCTCTTTCACTTTATGTGATTTACATATTTTTAGACTTGGTGATGACTCTCCAACCATAATACAATCAATCATACACACCAATTTAATTCTTAAATAATTAGTGACCACATAAATTAAATGTTGAATCCTTTTTAAACTACCTTGGTGTTAAATAACACCTTAAGCGCATAAAGCACCACAAATCCTATCCCTCGGTGTTTAGAATACCTTAAGTGCACTTAGGCACCAAAATATAATTTAATCCTCGTGTACATAGACACTTAAATAGCTTCTTTTTTCATGCTTATAGCATCAATAAAAATTATATGAACCATCATAAAATTCTCTTTCAATATTCCTACCTCAATTAAACATTTAGTTTAATTAAACATGCTCTCAATCATGCCAATAATAAAAGTGTGGTTCATATTCAACATGCCAACATAATTAATTCCGATCATCAATTCACCACAAATAATTCATATTTCACAAATCAATCACCAACATCAATCCAATCAACAATTTCAACCAATACCTATCATGATACTACCTTTGAATTAATTAAACAAAGCCTAGCATGTTCTATACACTTAAATAATTACCGAGTACGCGAACGTACCTCGATTATGATCACAAAATCGCCACGACTACCCGAAATCGCTCACATGGAAATCTCCTACAACCCAAAATTAAAAAGAGACATTAATACGTATTCAATATAAATTTCCAACAATATATACACTCTTTAAATCACTTATAAACCCTCTAAAACAGGCTGAAAATTAATTAAAACCCCTACTTTTATTCATAGTTAATGGGTAATTAAAAATCCTTTCAAGAAACATAATTCTAATCTTTGTATAAAAATTCCAACTTTATAAAAACATGTAAAATTGTTGTAATTATGTTTAAAACACCTATTTCAATAATATTAATCATCTACAATAAAATTCCATCAATATACATTAATTTAGAAACCTAGGGTTTTTAATTTGGGGCTTTTAAATTCAAAAACAAAATATGAAATTTATATACACAATAATCATAATCAAACATCATAAAAATCATCACACAACCCAAAAACAATAATTAAATCAAGGCTAGATTAGGATTAAAACAAAAACAATATATATATATATATATATATATATATATATATATATATATATATATATATATATATATATATAGAAATGGGATCATGTGAGAACTCATGGCTTAGGTGAGAACCAAGTTAAAATGAGAACCAATCTAAGACCATTCATTTTTATTAGATGAATGGTTCAGATTTATTGGTAACAACAGTGGGAATTCACGTGGGCCAACTTGAAAAGTGTAATGATTGTTTGTAATTTTTTATTTTTATTTTTATTTTTGTGCATTGGAAGACGTTGTATTGCATTGGAATATATTTCGTCAGTCCATTGGAAGACGTTACCTCAGCCATGGGAATACATTCAGCTATTGGAATACATTCTTTCTGAAAATATTATCAAAGGTTAGAGCTCATTTTTTTTTCATGTAGTTATATTAAGCATGGATTTGTCTATTGAATGTGGTACGTCTAATGTTGTTCATGTTTGTATCCCTGGTGGAACGAAGATATGGATTCCATGTTGTGATAGTGAGATTAGACCAACTATAGGTATGAAATTTTCAAAATTTGATGAAGGTTTGCGTTTTTATGAGTCCTACGCAACTATTGTAGGATTTATTACTAGAAAGTCGACGGTCAAAAAAAGAAAAAATGGTATTATTTCTTTTCAAATTATTGTATGTAATAAAGCTGGGTTTAAAGAAAAATGAAATAATGTGGTGACAGAGAAAGTTGATAGTATCGGGGAAGAAGATGATAATTTTGTAGATGATATGAATGTTGAAGAAGTGGTTGTTGGTCAAGATAAAGAAGACTATGATTGTCAAGAAGCGAATACTCCTATGGTTAAAAGAAGATTGTCTACTCGAGTTGGTTGTAAGGAAAAGATGATTTTAAAGTATTGCGAAGATGGAGGTTACATTGTTTATAATTTTGAAGAAGGGCATACTCATCATATGTATTCATCCGAGAACTCTCATTTTCAGAAGTCCAAAAGAAAGCTGACAATGTTTCATAAGAAAATGATAATTGATAATTCAAAGGTATTTGAATATGGTTTTGTTTAAAATGATTAAATTTTAAATGTGAAATAACAATTGTGTACATATATGAAACATTAGTATTGTAATATGAAATATATATTGTTTTGGATGGAACAATCGTATTTGAATATGGTTTTGTTTAAAATGATTAAATTTTAAATGTGAAGTAACAATTGTGTACATATATGAAACATTAGTACTGTAATATGAAATATATATTGTTTTGGATGGAACAATTGTTTGTAATGTATGTACTCAAGTAGGTGTAAGTACAATTGTATGGAACAATGGTTTTGATAAATGGAACAATATTACGTATAATTGAAACATAGTTGGAGCGATTGGTTGTAAAGGTTTAATATTAACAGTTATTATAACAAATGTAACAATAGGGTAATGCAAAGGAACAATAGGTCAGATATATGGAACAATAAAGTGCATTTTTGTTTCATATCACTTCCTTCATCATCGAATTTCGCACTATACATCAAGAATAACGTGTACCGTTATTTGTAATTAAATGTGTGCCTTTTTGTTTTTTGTACACATCTATATTTAGAATCTTTGAAATATTTTTTGCCTTTTTTTCATAAAATTAAATATGTACTGTTAGATCTGTTTCCATATATAGCATGGTCCTCAAACAGTCTAGTGTTTTTACATTCTGTTTCATATACTTTTTTTGTTGCTCCACAGGTGAATATTGGTCCTATCAAGACATACAGAATGGTGAAGGAATATGTTGGTGGGTATGAGAATATAGGTGCTAGTAGGAATGACTTCAAAAATTTTCATAGAGATTTGAAGGCGTATATTGAAGGATCGGACGCCCAGATGTTTGTTGACAATTTTAAGAGGAAAAAGTTGATGTGGTCGGCTTATTTTTTTTATTACGAAATGGATGAAGACGACTGTCTATGTAGAGCTTTAAGGGCAGATCCTATTTGCCGGAGAAATTATACCGTATTTGGTGATATGCTCTCGTTTGATACAACCTACCAAAGCAACAGGTATCATAGTGTTATTTTTAAAGTTTTTTGAATTTTTTTTTGGCGTTACAATTTGATGTAACATTTGTTTAAATTTTCGGAACATTGGAATAATATTACGAAACAGTAGACATAAATATCGGAATCGTAATTTCAGCGTATGTTTCATGTTTTCCAGATATAATATGGTGTTTGGTCCATTCACGGGAGTCGATCACCACAAGAAATGTTTCACTTTTGCTGCTTGTTTTATTGCAAAGGAAGATGTTGCTTCATTCCAATGGCTATTTAGAACATTTGTTAAGGCAATGGGCGGTAGGGAGCCCAATTGTTTAATTACGGATCAAGATCCAGCTATGAAAATTGCTGTAAATTCTGTTTTCCAGCAATGTGAGCACAAGTATTTATTTTATTGTACTGCAACTATAATGATTCATTTGTGAATACTATTGTTTCAAAATATGTGTCTGATGTTTCATATTAGTTTATTGATGTTTCCAGCTGTTGTTATGATGTTAAATATTATTATTCTGAATTTTAAAAAAAAAATATTGTTCCTAAATAGTGTTTTATTGTTTCAAATTTATGTTTTGATGTTCCATTAGGTTAATCAATTGTTACGAGAATTCGCCTAGTTATTCCAATTATTTATTTTATTATTTCAAATCTTCAAGATGATGTTCCGGAATTTTACTATAATGTTACAGTATTAAAAGTTAATGTTTCTAAATAGTGGTCTAATGTCCCATAATTAATGTCCTTCAGATTTTGTATGTGGCGCATAACGAAAAAGCTGCCTGATAAAGTTGGAAGAAATATCATTCAGGATACTGAAATTTTGAAGGAACTCAGTAAGTGTGTTTGGAATTTAGAAATTGAGGCACCTGAATTTGAAGAGAAGTGGAACAATGTTCTTGTTGAGTTTAAATTACAAGACCATGATTGGTTGAATTTGATGTTTGAGATGAGATCTATGTGGATTCCAGCGTATTTTAGAGATGTGTTTATGGGTGGTATTATGAGAACTACCTCAAGGTCAGAGAGTGAGAATAATTTTTTTACATCCGTTGTAAATCCTCACGTGTCTCTTGTGGAGTTTTTCATGAGGTATGAAACTGCGTTGGATGCACAGAGACATAGTCAGGCAGAGAATGACAATGAATCACAGGAGAAATTCCCTCAATGTAAGACATAATTGTTGATTGAGAGGCATGGTTCTGAGGTGTACACCGTTTCTGTATTTTATGAATTTCAAGATGAAGTTCATAGTGCTTTTTATTCTTGTGGTGTAGATGAATTGAGGAAGGAAGATGGTATTGATGTAGCAATTGTTACTGAGGCAAATAGGATAAGGAAATTTAAAGTTTTGTTTGAGTGCATAAGTTATGACACTACCTGCTCTTGTAAGAAGTTTTATAGGATAGGAATCCCATGCAGACATATGATATGGATGTGGAAGGCAAAGAATTTAAAAATCATTCCAAAGCAATATATCTTAGATCGTTGGACAATAACTGCTACTCAGAAACCAGTGTTAGATATAAGTTGTTTAGACACCGAAGATGATAGGCGGGTGGTTATAAATGAAATGTGGTCGGAGATATTTTCTTGTGTGAGTTGGGTTAAAGGTCATGAGGAGGACTTTATTAAGAATATTCGAGAGTTCAAGAATAAAATTGAAGCGACAAAAAATGTTACTGTAGTTGATACTCAAAATGTGAGATCTAGTGAACATGATATTGAGATGTTAATAGGATGTAGCATTCCTGATGAAATACTTGTTCAGCCTCCTAAAGTGTCGAAGAATAAAGGTACAGGTGTTCATGATGGCTGTGGAACTAGTGAGTCTAAAAGATTAAAGGGTGCTAAAGAAATAGCAGTTGAACAATCTAAAAAGAAAACGAAGAGGAAATGCAGTGGCTGTGGCGAGCTAGCATATCATGATATTCGGAATTGTCCTCACAAATCATGATGATTTGTGCAGCTGTTGTTCCTTCTTATGGGAATGTTTTACTCATTTTTATGTTTGTTGTAATGGAACAATTAGTTACATTTGAGAAACATCAGTTTTAATATATGTTACATCAGTTTTGAGAAGCATCAGTTTTAAGAAACATTAGTTCTAATATGTGTAACAATTGTTTCATTTAAGGGAACAGTAGGAACATTATCTGAAACATTAAGATTCGTTTTAGCATGTTTTATATAAAAAAGTTACGGAGTATATAATATTTTTCAGAAAGTGTGCAAATTGATTTTATGTGGCAGCGTGTATTGATTTGTCTAGTCATCTTTTTTTAAAAGTACTGGCGTGGTATTGTTGCTTTGGGAACATATTTATGGTAAAGTTTAAAAGCAATCTTACACTTGTCAATTTCATGTGGAAACGTGTTCAGTTGTGACAATGCATGGTTTAAATTTATTTCTTACCGTTGACAATGCATGTTGTGACATTGTTTCATATTACCTAACCATTGTTTCATTTTATATATTTATAGTTTCATTTAATACTTCTAATTATGGGAAAATGATCCAGAACATGTTTAGCTAAACCTATAATGACATTGTTTCATATTACCTAACTGTTGTTTCATTTTATATATTTATAGTTTCATTTATTACTTCTAATGTTTCATATTAATAGTTCACAATTGACAATAATGTATGCACATCTTTACATACGAAGAAGGAACTGTTCAGATATTAATAGAAAATCATTAGACGAAACATAAAAAGATGTTTAGCTAAATTATCCAGAACATGCATAAAAATTATGTATCTTACAACTAATGTGGAAACATTCATAAACATTGTTTACTGATTAACATGACGAAGCTGCTCTAATTCCCAGGTCTTTGATTTGGCTATAATTTCATCTTGTAGTACGTTTGCAGGGCTTGTCAATATTTTCCCACAATACTCAATCCTCAGCTTCTTCATTATATCAGGCTGAAATATATTAACAATTCAAAATAAATACCGGAACAATGAACCATAAATTATGTATAAATTAATATAAGAATTACACAAAAACTTACATCTTTTGGGTCGAATCCAATATCCCAACATTCATCTAGCTGCCTCATGTAAGTTTCCATGTGTTTGAGAGCGTATACACCGCAGTCATTATAATTGTCATTATTTTTCCATCTCATTTCCTTCATAGTGGTATTGAATTTAGACACTGCCCGTCCATTCCCAACTTTCTTTTCATTTAGTAATTTAGAAAATGCCTTGATCTGTATAATATGAAACAATTAGATGTACCAAGGAACAATGAAACAAAAAATATATACAATGAAACAATTGATATATAATATGAAACAGCGTAAATGAAAAATGAAATATCAGATGTATGATTATGAAATAACATATTATATGTACAATGAAACATATTTTATTTAATATGAATCAGCAGTAATGAAAAAATGGAACATCAAATGTATTATTTGAAACAATATATACATATATTGAAACAAATTCTATATAATAAGAAACATTAGAAATCAACAATGAAACACCAGATATACTAATTGAAACAACAAAAAATAAAAATGGAATACTAGTGATGTTTAGTGAAACAGTGTTATATTTTTACCATGGTAGCTGGGAAATTGCCGTACTTTGCATCCATTTCAACACCTTCTTCTAGAAATCTGTTATCTATAATTTGCATTTGCTTGCGTGAAAAATTGAAACAGAACAGATAATAGTGTTTAAATGCTGGGACGAGAAAGAAAACCTATAATGAAACAATAAGTAAGTTATATGTAACATTAAGTATATCTTATTGAGCAAATATATATGCTAAGAATCAGTACTAGTTTAGTATCTAACCAAATCTACTTTGTCAAAAGTAGTTATTTTAGAATGCTTCATCTCGTCCACCATCCTGCTCTTGAAAGCGTTGTATATCTCTGCAAACTTGGTATTTGGTGTAAAGTACTTGTTACCGCACAACATATTCTGTTTTTTTCCAGGTAATTAATCATTGTTATAGTTGTTAGTGTATCAGAAATATTATAATTGTTAGTGTATCAATATTATGAAACTGAAATATTTTATACGGAGCATAATATATTAAAAATGAAACATTGGCACTATATAGTGGAACATTTATTGTCAATTGAAACAATGGAATATGTTAATGAAACAAATTATATGATAAATGAAACATTAGAGCTTAAAAGTGAAACAGTTAAATAACTTTAGACATAATTACCCAACATTCAGAGGTGTAGAAAAAACGGTTGATAGCGCCTGGTTGCCTTCTTTTGTTTTCCATGTTAAGGATGTGGCCCTAGGAGTCTATTATATTGTTGACCACATAGTTGTCACCTTGTAGTCCTAAAATGTCTTCCCTACTGATGAAGTTAAGCCCGTCATTGTACAGCTACTCACTGAAATTGATGGGACAGCAAAATAATTTAATGAAACAATATGTATATAATATGAAACAATATAATATTGTATATACTATGAAACAATATGTATATAATATGAAACAAAGCATTCAAGAAAATTCTCACGATTTTGGGCCTGCACAAAAGGCATATTCGGCGGCTGTTCTTTGTAGGGCATCAATTTTTGCTGAAATTTTTTCATTCTGCACCATGAATGGGGATCGAAGGTGCACAGGAAGATTTTGTGTGATTCTTTTTTCTCTTTGCATACCAGTCACTGGCTCCTCACAATGTTCCCTCGTTATCTTATGAACGATGGATTCAGTGAGTGACTCCAACTGCTGATCCGTTGGAGATTCTTCGTGCTCTGGTGACTTTCCTTTTGCTGGGGGTGTTGGAGGCAACGCCTGTGAACCTACAAATAGATTATAGTTTGGTTGGGATTCAGATAATGGAACAATGTCTTGAACGGATTCATTGTGGGGTGTAGCTTGTGGGGTTAAAACATTCTAGGGGGGGTTCATCTTGTTGTTTGTCTTTGGCCTGAAAATTTGCCCATGCTTTGTTCATCACATCACTGAGCTTAGATAAAAACGCTGGCTCATGAAATAAGTTCTCATCTTGAGATAGAAAACCCGGGGTCTTGATTCCTTGTTGACTCCTAATGGGCTGTACTGATGTGTACTTGCCCCATACATTTCTAATGAGCTCCTTCATCTCATCTGGGATCTCCACCTCCTCAATAAATTTGTATGCCTGTCAATCAGTGCATACATTGACTGGACATGGCCAACAAGTTCCTTGGAAATGTTGTTGAATTCATCAAGTATAAATCCCTATAACAAACCAACAACGTTTCAAATTCCAGTATTATAAACAATGAAACACGTGATATAAAATATGAAACAGCATGTAGCCAATATGAAACAGCGTACACAAAACATGAAACAACCGAAATATATTACGAAACAATAATGTCATGAACACGGAAACAATAGGCATATAAAATGAAACAATATACATCTGAAATTTATTGTGAAATAGTGTACATCTAAATTGAAACAGCTGAAATATATTATGAAACAATATACATCTGAAATCACATATCTTAAATATGTAACAGCATATATTCAACATGAAACAACAATTAATGAGAAGTGAGATTTATTACATGAAACAGCAGGCATTCAATATGATACATCAAATTTATTATACGAAGCAATAGGTATATAAAATGAAACAATAGGCATATAAAATGAAACAATAGGCATATAAAATGAAACAACATACATCTAAATCATATACATTATTTTGAAACAAAAGTAATATGTAATGAAACAAATAATATTTAATATGAAACAATGAAACATCAGGTATATTAATTGTTATGTTTTTTATTTTTTTTTTATTTTACCTTAACATCTTCAGATCAGAGGACGACGAAGGCCCTTGATTTCCTTTACCAGAATTCGTGTTTATGGCAGTTAACCTGTCGAGGACTTTACCTTGTCCAAATCCTCTCTTCATCTCGACCTTCATTCGTTCTTGTATCATCTGCTTGTTCCTAACGAATATTAGGGGTATTGTCCTTCGTGGTTGAGCTGTGCCACGCTTCAGTCTATCAAAGTACATAACATGTTTAAGCCGGTATGGAAAACTGTTGGTTTAAATTTTGAAACAACATGCATATAAAATGAAACAACATACATCTTAAATATATTGTGAAACAGAACATACATTTGAAATCACATATTTTGAATATATGTTGTTACATATTTAACCGATGGTGTTTCATTTTATAATAAATGTGATTTCAAATGTATGTTCTGTTTCACAATAAAATGAAACACCATCGGTTAAATATGTAACAACATATATTCAAAATGAAACAACAATTAATAAGATGAAAGATTTATTACATGAAATAGCAGGCGTCCAATATGAAACATCAGATTTATTATACAGTAGGCATATAAAATGAAACAACGTACATGTGAAATCATATACATTATTTGGATAATGGACTATAAATTATATATAATGTACTATATGAAACAACAGTAATATGTAATGAAACAAATGACATATATTGTGAAACAACATAAATAACAATGAAACATCAGGTATATATATGCTGTTTCATTTTATATGCCAATTGTTTCATATTTTAAACCAACATTTTTCCATATTTTAAACAGGTTATGTACTTTGACAGAAGATATCAAAGTACAAATACTACCAGTTGGTTTAACATATGTAACAACAAATAAACAATATGAAACAGTTGATTTTAAATATGAATATGTAACAACAGACGTTTAATATGAAACTGCAGATTTATTATATGAAACATTACATATTTAACATGAAACAACTTACATAAAATATGAAACAGCTAATACTAAAGCAAGTACTCAAATTAACAATGTAACAGTAAGGATTATTTTAGTAACATTGTAATTATTCAGTGAAACACTTTATTAAGATTCTGAAACAATATAATTACCATCAAGAATGGCAGAGGCCCTGTGAAGTATGCAGCTCCTTCCTTCCATTCTGCTACGGAGTT